GGGGGGGGGGGTCCTAGTAAGTGGGGAGTCGGAAATGTGAAAAATCTGAAAAAACACGTGATGATTCTTTTTTGGGGTCAAAGAGATTTTCTTCTGAATACAATCAATAGCAAAATGACAATTATCACCATGTAATTATGTATTGTTGTATTACTAAAATGAGCAGGCTAATTATCATTGTGTACATCAGTCAGGCCTATGTAAATCTTTTTAGGATGTCACTACTTCTCTATGTTAAAACTTTTGTACAATGCAACCTCTTCATTCAAGAGAAACTTTACAGAAATGTCCCACCTGCAAGACCAAAGGAACGGGGGGGGGGTCCAAATAAGCTCGGGGGTCAGAAAAAAAACAAAAAATGAATAAGCGTCCCTTCCTTCTATTAAGGACCTTAGAGTATTTAACGTTGAACTGTGTGGTAGGAAATACCATTCTAATGTAAAACAAAAGAAATCTGAAAAAACATGCATATGCTAGCAAAACCTTTTAAGTTGCAATTTTAGTTGACTTAAGATAAGAGTTCTCCCAAAATATTGTCGGAGATATCATCTGAAAGAAGACGTGATTTTACAGCAAAAGTTTAAATGTTGTTAGGAAGCAAATTGATAAGAAATTATTTTTTGCCTCCAAAACTCCCGAGTTAGAATAAAAAGTTAGTAATACTGATTATGAGATATGCGTAAAAACGTGATTTTGGAATACAAACCTGGAAAATGCCCACTGGCCCATTAGAATAATTAACCAGATGAGAGAAAAGAATATTCCAGCGTAGAAAGTACCAGTAAATCGAAAAATTTCGAATTCCTCTTCGAACTAAAAAGATGGTATTTGATAAGGAGATTGTTGCACAAGTTTTACAAATATTTCAAAAATGCTTATGAAAAGTGCTAGACTCATATGTATTCAAATGTAAAAATATTTCAATCTTATAATATTTTCAAAATAGATTGTTTCAATAGTTCGATGTACGATAGAGAGTTTAGGTTCAGGGGACAATCGATCCAATTTAGAGGAATGTTAAATTCAAATCCATGGTTGTTCTATCAAAGAAAGAACGAATGTTAAATTATAAGCAGTAACATTGGACCATCAACTTAGACTGAAGGAACATATTGAAAGCTTTTGCAAAAAAGTTGGAAAAAAGTTAAATGTTTTAGTCAGGATTGCCGATTCACGAAAGGGCAATGAGGATAGTTCATGATGATTATCAATCAACTTTTGAACAACTTTTCATAAAGAATAAAAAAATTACTTCCCTTATAAAAAATTGACAGTATCTTGCAGTAGAAATACATCAAACATTCAAGGGTTTAGATCCACATATTATGGATGGGATGTTTTCAATAAATAAAACTTAAGAAACTCCAAATTTAAAACAACGGAGCCACATTACAGAATATATGGATTTAATAGTGTTTCATATAGATGTTGCCAAATATGGAACTCAATCCTATACGAAATGAAATGATTCCCAGCTTTACAAATATTTAAGAAAAAAATGCCAGAATTTTCATCGTTAAATTGTGACCTTTGCAAGGAATGGCTATACAAAATCGGTTAGGCCTCAAATAAAGAAGGAAACATGAATGAAACCTTAGATAAGGTAAACATTTATCCGCTTCAGAGATAAAACAACAGTGATTGGCCGAAGTACTCCAATCAACTTTCCCTTTATTTCTATTGGCTAGCCTTGATCCATATTTGGATATTACGAGTTCGTTGGTCATCATCAAATTTTCACATTCTGACAAATGTTGGACAAATCCCCAGCTATTGATATCCGTTTTTTAAGGCTCTGGCTCGCGTACATAGAACTGGTTCCCAGTATGAAGGATCATGCACCCTGGTTTTTGTGGCAATATTGGTAAAGCAGAGGCCTTGTCCTTATGAATTTAATTACACTGTACATTTTTAGGGATAACCTACGTGCTGTTCGGCAATAACGGCATAAATTCCAGGCCGCTCAAAATAACAAGTTGTTGTGAAGTCATCAGATCGGTATATCTTCCCCCCTTTGCGTGTCCAAGACCCACTGCCTGTGAACCTGTGTAAAGAAACAGTAGAGGTTAAAAAAACCATCGTCTGGTTTTTTTAATTCATCCTCTAAAGGCCCTAAAAAGAATCATAAAAAACTCTTCTAACGCCTATTTCATGGGATGAACTCAATTATTGGAAAAACTATTCACCACTTTACTTAAGCTAGACATTTAAAGAAAGATGTGAAACTAAAAAAGACTGTGGAGCTTACATCCAAATAGACAGGTATTTTTAAAGAAACATATCGAAGCATTTTCCTCAATGTTCTTTAGTTTACTGTCACTTGCTTGAAGCACCTGCAGATACAGTCATTTCTCCTTTCGAACAAGGCCGCTGCCCAAAGTTAATATCATTCTATAGAGATCCTATACATCAATGGCAATACATCTGATTGTATTCGTTTTTAAAATGGCGCTAATAAACTGTTTATATTAACTTCACTGCATGATAACAAGAAAGCTTTTATTAGCAGGTTAGGTCGTATGAGATGCTATTCGAAAAAAATCGTTATCAGCTGGCAAGAAAGATAAAGACTCACAAGATGGTGTCATTCCATGTCACGCAATACTTTTTAGCAGCGTACAAAGAAGGATAGTATTTGAGATCCTAAAAACGAAGAAGTAAGTGAAAAAGATCAATCTATTGGTAAGAATTGACGATTCTTGATGGTAAACGTTTAATGTGGTCAAACAAGGCAGCAAGGCTGTTTTAAAAGAATCATATATACTAAAAAGAAATAAATCATTTTAAATTTCCTGATTATTGTTCTAACAATAAGTCATTTAAGCTTACGATGGCAAAATTTTCCTGTATGTTAGATAAACCTCGGGTCATCGAATTGAAACAAGATTAGAGCTCTCAAAACATCAAAGACAAGAGTTGCCATTTTGCCTAATTAGTTTTCTGCGACAAGATCTTTTAGCGGGTGCATCAATTTGTAAGATATGTAAATTAAGCTTGACTTACAATAACATGGTCGAATTTAACAACGACCTGTTGTCCATTCATCTTCATGGCTGGTAACGTTGTGGTTGCGATGATACGGCTAATTATGAAAGACTCATACTGAAAGTAGCAGTAGACATCTTGGCTGGAGAAAGAAAGCAATTATCAGAAAGCTAACGAAAGTCTCGATACGTTTTGTGTAAAGAAGATTTCTTGTTGCTAAAAAATAATTTGAATAAGAATTTCATTCTTGTTGTTGTCAATTAAACTGTATCAAAACTTTGTGAGGGATCTGGGTCTTTATTATATTTCGTAATTTTTTCAAAATTGGCGCTAAATCTATGTGTTTTTTTATTCTGCAGAAGAAATAGAGTACCTTTTCAAAGAACAAGTGGTAGGCTTCTTGAAAACTAAACTGAATTTGTTCAGGTCATAGGGAAGGGGCCCCACTTGGTCCACAACGATGTTGGAGTTCACAATGTAGCCAGGATCTAGAAAGCAAAATATCAAAAATTGAAAATTAATCAATTAATGACCAAGTAGTATGATTTAGTTCGTCTTCCAGACAGAAATGGAAGAGAACAGCAAGTATTATAATGCTGTACCTGTTGTTATTATTTCTAGGCTCTGCAGCTATGTCTTTTCATTTAGAAAAAATGTTCACTATATCTAGGCAAGTTTCACTTCCCTGTAATAAAGTATTTATACAACCAATGTTAAGATTGATGATTCATAGCAAGCTTATCAATCGTAATTTATTTGAGCTGGGAGAGAAAACCTAATCAATAAAAGCAAACTTTTCGTTAGGATTGGTATCAAAATTACTACGTAGATTTTTATGAATAGGTAAACTTCAATATATTAGCGATTCTAATAAAAGCACAGAATTACGTGGAAAGTTTGGGTCTGTGTAGTTCCAACTGAGAGCAAAACCAAAACTTTCGATGGTGTTATCTGTGGTCATTTTGATGGTGAGTGTGTTTAGCGAAGATCGAACTCCAATTGGTTTCGATGATCCACAAAACTTTCCTATCGATTTGGAGTTTGTACTTGAGCCATCGAAAAACTCCACACTGTCGAATAAACAGCGTTTGTCACTTTCAAGGTGGAACGCGTCAAACGTGACTTCCACTGCGTACTTAACTGGCACCTTAATGTGCCAAACGCAAGATATGCCAGCACTGTAGTTTCCAGGATACCCAGGTGACGTCATATTGCCAGATAGACCTTCATAGACAACTTTGCTTCCACAAAAGCTAGGCCCTAAAATTGAGCAAAAAAAACATAAAACTGTATGAAACTCGGTACTGAAGAGTGCACTTTGCAGCTGATGATTGATGATGAAGTCTTTGAGAATACCAAAAAACTTTCAAATGGATTTATTAAACTAGTTCTTATACATAGTCAAATGTAACCAGATCGCCGAAATAACAAGCATTATTTTGGAAATGAATAAATAAATGAAGCATTGCGTTTAACACTTTCCATTAAAAGATAAAGCACATTGGCAGTGAAGAAGTTACGAGTATAAACAGGATATCCCAAACCAACAAAGTACGAATTTTACCACTCATCGACTTTCGCACTCTCCCTTTTCGTCCATGGCCATTATCCTGACCAACTCTTGCCGCATCTAAACCCCGCTTCACACGAATTTCTGCATGTAAACTTCTATACTGATTCGTAGTAATATCTGCAACGAAAATCGTACAATAATTTTCTTCGCCTACTTGCTAGATAAAGCCATTTACTAGCACGACTTGGTAAACACTGGAAGTATAATACTCATTTACAAACAAGTGAAGTAACATCGTTTAAAAAGTTGGAAGTTCGCTGAAGTAGAATGGAATAACAACAGAAAATAAATTTAGTGTGCCCTATTCTTGTTAAATACCTGTGCTATTTCTTCTGCAGTCAACCTCGTAATAAACACTGTCTCCATGAGTACTCCATGTACCTGGGAGAGGCACTGCGTTTCTTGGAAATCTATTACTCACAACCGAGTCACATCTTGTTGTTGAAAATTGAAGAGCTGTTAAAAAGAAAAGTAGCAATTCAAATGTCTTATCTAGAAACTACTTTCAGCTTCAAAAACAAGCGATTTTCAAAAACCTTTAGGTAAAGCGCAATTATTGGTATCTGCTGGTAATTCAGATTGCTTTTCTAGTACGTCATTCTCGGTCAAGAATACAATGACTGCAAAGGAGCTGTCTGGGGTTTTCAGGTGCACTGGTGTGTTTATTGCTTCTTTGATTTTAGCGATCTTCGCTTAAGAATATAAGCGCTCTGTCAAGGAGACTTAGTGGCAAGAGATTTAACCTAACCAAGGTATATTGTCATTGTATCTCATTTTTCATTAAGAAATGTTAAAGGGGTGACTCAAGGATCGCTTCTTGGTCCAATATTTTCAATGCTACAGGTAATCACTTAAAGCATTTTACAGTATGAATTAGCTGCAAATACAAGAAAAGATGGCAGTGTTCTGGTAGGTATATAGCAATGTTGTAATAAGTTTGGAGAGGTAATCTTTCAAGGGAATACGGCGCCTTAAAGTTACAAAATGAATAGAAAACAATTGATTTTTGCGTAATTTTCTGTCTGTGTAAGACAATTTAGCTGTGCTGGCATGACGTCTTTAAATAATTCTAAATAACAAGCAGGATAAAATTGTCACTGTTCAGAAAGAATTAGTAGATTTTCTCTAAAATACTCACTAGCATACCCAATGAAGAAGAAACATGTTCACTGCATCTTACTCTCATTCAAACGCAAATAATATTTTAACCTTATTTCGTTAAAGTTTTTCATTATCAAGCTTATATTTAGAGCTTTCATGAAAAAATCTGGTGTAACCTAACAAAATTTGCTGAAATAGGGGCGGGGGGGGGGGTGTAATCCCATTTTCTATCATTGACAAGACTTATCGGGTCGAAATGATTAATTGACTTACCGGCTCCTTGAAAATATTTGTTTTTGACCAATGCTGTTTTATTCTCTGCAAAATAGGCGCTTAGTTCGAACAGAGATTTTTCCAACGACCGAATAGCCTGCACAGCGGCAAGGTCGCTTGCTTTGTATGTGCCTGAGTGTAATCGTTTCTGCAAGTAAACATTGAGATTGATCAATAGTGTTTGCATGCATTTCGTGTTTCAACGGTTGCAATAACATGTAACTGGCTAGTGTTACAGTAACACTGATCTTTGATTTTCCCAGGAAGAACAGTTTTCCCTCCCATTGGACATAATTTATCTGCTTTGACACAGATGAAACTTTTCCTTATCATAAAACTGGGACTTTGACAAGTTGAATACATCCATTGACAAAGACTATCAAGTAAAGGATACCTGCAAACAATGGCCAAGTGGCTTCTTTATAGAATTTCTCTATTGCTGCCAAAGCCTTGTGAAACAAAACTTTTCAAAGGAAAACCTCCCTCAAACCGGCAGAAACTCATTTGGGCTGTGCCTGTATAGATAAAGCTAAAAGATGTTCTAGGGACCATTCCTATTTCATTATGCATCTCATTTTCGTTTAGCCCTCTCAACAATTTTTCCATTTAGCCATGTATTTGATAGTAAGTGCCGATATTACACGGGCAACACTGTTAGCCCCTAAATATTATATCGTAGCCATGGTTTGAGACTTTAACTTTTCATTGTTGTACCTACTCACCTCTTGGGCAACATTGACTACATCATTGAGCAAATTGTTTATCAAAATCTCAGAGAATTTTAGTCCTGCCTCCTTATCGTGCAAAACAGCAGCAAAGACTATGAAGAAAAAACACGCTGAATGTACAAAAATGGGATGAAATAGAATTGTAAAAAGGGTTAATTGGTTTTTCGAAGGCTGCTCGAGGCCGTAAAGCAAAGCCTAAGTGTGTAGAACAAGACGGTTCAAAGTCGCAATTTGTTAAGATTGCGTGATTATCACATCAAGAATAAAATCCTTCGACCAGCAACTTCAAACTGTCTTGTTGTACAATAGTCAACAGAAAAGATCTTGTATACTTGTTAGCCAAACGTGTTCGAAAAAAGCTTGCAAGTACGATAATGTCTACTGATTTTATATCTGCATTGTCATGCTTAACAGTGTTTTGGGAGATACTATACATAACTGTAGATAATATGGTAAACTAAATTCTTCAAATAAGAACCAAGATTCAGAAATTAAAAAGCAGCCGTCTGCTGCAAGATAATCTTGAATTTTCAAACCAACAAAGTATAACGACGTTTCGATTTCATTAGGTTTCCAAGCATAATTTTTCTTTATGAACTCGTTTTAGTTTTGGGGTAGCGGAATTGTTGTTGTTTAAAGTAAGACGAATTTATAGCGAATTCCTGCTGGCTTGGCAAATAACTACAAAATCCTACTCTAGCGACGTAGTTTCTGGGAAACATTAGGCTGAAAAGAACGCATGATTTTCATGCTAAATTGATAAATTTATGAAAGATCTTCCTCCTTACCAAACTGAAAATAGAATTATGATAAGTTAAATACAAAAACTAAATCTTAGCCTGTTATAAATCGAGGAAACTTTTGTTGTGTTGTGAAAATGATATCGCGCAGTATTTATGTGCTGCTGCAACCCGAGTCTTTTTTTACTTTATAACATTTCGCATGTGCAGTTCTTATGTATTCCCGAAATAAACAATGCTTTGAGTATGTTAATGCAGTGAGATTTAGGTACCTGTAGCAGCACCCAGATGAAGTCCTACAAACCAAATGATAAAAAGTCTTCTTATAAGTTGCATCATCTTTGCTGTTCAACATTTTCTGCAAAAATCCATGACAAAACTACCCAAGTTTGAAATAGCCGAGACTTCTAAAAAATTAAGCTTAAAATCAAGTCAAGTTTCCCCTAATTTGACTGAAGAATTCAAACGCAATAACCACCTACAAGTGAGAATATAAATCAAATTGTTGGTGGCCAGATGCATTACTTGATAAAGATTTTATGTGGCATTCTCTTCTTCGGGTGTTGCTATAGGGACACAAATATTTGCATCTAAGACGTTTATATAAACCTCCATATAACAGACTTGACAAGACGTCTTCACAGTTATGGGATATTTGACAATCTCACTTGATTTAATGAATAATTGAACACTGTCCTTTTCATCTGAACCATGGGTACCGGCTGGGCATGTAATATTGAATCGAAGAGTTGTCCGGATATGTAAAATCAGCCGAAGAGCAACAATTTTGTTTCCTTGTTCTTTTCAACCCTGTCATTCGGAGACATCTCGTTAAGCAGTCGTTTCAATTTGCATGGATAACTGTTAAAGATTAAGCGACAATTTTGTTAAAATGACTGTAACAGAAACTTTCTTACTTAATAAAACAGGGCCCGTGCCACAGGGGGCCATTGCCTCCCCACTTTTCTTTTAGGTTTTAGGTTGGTGCAAGGATTATTCAGTTGTTAGAGGCGCTGACTACAGACCTAAGAGTCCGTGGTTCGAGTCCCTGGCATGACCAAACTTTTACCCAGAGTGAGAAGAGTCGCCAGCTCTCTGTAATTCCAGGCGTAGGAATCAAGAGGTGTGGTCACATCGAGACGAAGGACCAGGACACTGCTCGATAAGCATAAGCTTCTCAGTGTCCAGAAAACTACCTTCGGATGCTAGGTAGAAACAAATACGAATATAAAAGGTTACAACAGATACATTAAACCAAAGTATACTAGCCATACAGCATCAGCAAAATTTTTGCCACAGTTGCCGCTAGAAGGGGTAAGAGGAAACTTTCTTTACATGGATGGCCCCTCCAGTCTAGGATCAGCTGCACGGGCTCTGTAAAAGATACGTATTTTACGACTCTTTAAATGGGCTTTTTTGCAGCGGTTTAAAGCATTTATATTTTCAAGGCCAAACGGGATATTCTCAACCTTTCAGTAAGGAGGGTCTGTCGCAAAATTTGGAGTTCACGAATTAAAAAATTGAAGAAATAATAAAAATGTAGCGTCCATGGATCTAAAATTTTTCAAAAAGCAATAAAGATAATTTCATAATTTTGAGCCACCAAAATATAAGTATTAATATTTGCAGTTGCTACGAAATTACTCTAAATACTGAGGTGTCATAAAAGAAAACTGGTTGCTCCTTTTTTGAAAAGTAATGAGTGTCTTCCCTTTCCTCTGGTTTTAGGCATAAACACAGAGCCATGTTATCTCTCTGACAAACAATTTTGTCATAAAAAGATCATGGAATGGTTTCACTGGCAATGTGAGTTCATTTCACAACTGGAAGCTTATAAAATATATCAGTTGTTTACCAGTCTCCGCCAGAGTGGATGTTTAATCACCAGCCAAAATCATTTTACTATTTATACCACAATTATGCATTATGTCGTAATCTATACATATAGTTTACGACATAACATATAGTTTTTTACTTACACTTCCATCAAAATGATGAGATGTGGTATAGAGAGACATTGCTCACAATTAACAACTCTAAGAGAGATCTATACGCACTTTCCAAATAATCTTGCCACTAAGAAAGTATTGGACAAATAAACCCCTCTAACCTGAAGTGTTCATCTGAATCAGCCTTTGGAAATACTCTGCTGCAAAAGAGGAGCAGAGCTCATATTATCTTTTCAAAATGAATTCAGGTCATGTGCAAATCACCACTGAACCAGTGTCTATTTACAACACAGTGAGTTTAGAGTACCATTTGCAACAAAAGTAGCTATATTTGTGCATTTTTATTACATGCAATTTATAATCAAAACACACTTTAAAGTTGTCTAGCTAATCCACAGATGCATAGAAATAGTTTTGTTACAAAGCATACCATTATCATTCTTTAAAATTTCACTGTTTCATTTTAAACTTAATTCAATTTTAGGGATGTAAAGCAATTTCATGATTTTCAACAACACTTTAGATATCATTGTGATTTCCAAGCATTGAAAAACATTGCTTCACAATTTCTTGGCAGTTATTAAATTCTTGCCATGGAAGCTTTATAATTTTGCAAACTAACTGAAGGTGCCTGAGAAGGCTTGGCAAATGCTTCTTGGGACAGTCACCATTCAAAACTGTCTCCATTGCCTGTGTGAAATTGGACCTTGATAATTCAAAATCAGCCACTGCCATGCCCAAATCCAAATGACATGCACTGCAACGCAGTTTTGCTGCACTTGAAGTTGCCTTACTTTTGATGGTTGAGTTACACTCAGGGCATTGAAAACCAGGAAAATCAGAAGGTAATTCATGGTACATGGGCCAACTCCCAGAGCATGGCTCACACTGGCAAATGAAAAAATACTGTGATGATACCAAACTTTGTCTTTCCTGAAAGTTATTGACAGCATACAATGAGCCATAATTGTCAATAATCATTCCTCCTTTTGGAATTTGCTTCACAGCTCGAAGTGCACAGGAACTTCCGTAAGAATGTCGTACAACACTAGGATCACAGGAATGATTCAACAGGCTCAGTGTTGCATAAATTGCAGAGCCAATTTCTTTGAGGTATGAGTCAGCAATAGATGACCTGTCGATTTGCAGCTCAGATACTTCGTGAGCATTGCAAGGCAGCATTTGAAGCTGTTTTAAAATGTGGGCACCAATGCAAACTTTCTTTGCAAACTGCATTTCCACATCATCAGGAGATGTGAAAAACTCATTATGATCTACAAACTTCATCAAAAACACAGCCATTACAGCTCGCTTAAACAAGTCACTCAATGACCTCTTGTCACTGTGGCCAATCAAGCTGAATACTGATATGTAGTCAAGACTGTCATATACCCCATCAGCATTTAGTCCACTCTGGCTACTCCGTCCATTTTCTTTAAACTGAAATAAGTAGTCAAAGCCAGCTTTTATAACCATCTGCAAAGCCAGATGTCCCAGCCCAACATCTGCCAAATAGAGGGTGCTTAGAAATTTACACTCACATTCATGATAACTCTGCACTGCTAAATCTTTACAGGCAAAATCACAGAACCCAACAAAACTGCACGTGGGACAACCAATTAGTGTCTTGCATCTTTTGAAGCAATGGTAGCAATGTGTCAATCTGTTTTCATGAAACAAAACAGCTGCATATGGCTTTTCAAAAATTATGAGCTCTCCTGCATCAATTTCTCTTGTTGCAATGGCATGCCTTCCAAAGCTTGGGTCACAAACAATTTCAAAAGCTGATGTTGCACAAGGATAAATGGGGTTAGAATCTGCCTTTTCATTCTCAGCTGTCCCTTCCTTTTCACACCAGGGCTGAGATTTGTCTTTCAGATTTTCAGGTGAACATTGCTTTTCCATTTTGCAATACTCAAATGCATGCTTGTTTTTTTGGTCAACAGACAAATCAGATTTCGACAATGCCATTAATGCAGCTTTAAAATACTTTTTTGCAAACTGCTGCCTATTCTGCTTCACGTGGCATTTCCCTATTCTCTCTAGTAGCTTATACTTAAGCTTTTCAGGGTAGCCATATGCAAGGGCCCTCTCTGCGTCATTTATCGCATCAGAGAAGTCACAAAGTTGGAAAAGAACAGCTGACCTGTTTGCCAAGGCCAAAGCAAAACATTGTGAGTTTTCATTACAGTAGTCCGCATTGAAAACACTATCTGTATATTTTTCAAGAGCAGCTGTAAAACTTTGCTTTTTGAATAACGAATTACCTTGTAGACGCAGTTTTTCTGACAAACTAGACGACTTCTGGTCTTTGTACTGGCCCCAGTGAGGCCACTCCTTAAGGGCCTGGTCTACCAGTTCTGTTTTCAAGATGCAGCTTATGCGCTCTTCATCTGTATCACATAACCTAAATTCCGATGAAAGACAATCCACTTGTTTATTTTCGGACAACCGTTGTGATATTTCTGTGAATAGAGAAGCAAATGTTCCCGCCATAAGTTCAAGAGTTTGTATGGCTATCGAAGCTCACTCTCCCTTCTTTGTGTTGTTTTTGCCATACTGAGTTGAATTGCAGGGGGCCCCGAGATCCTGGGAGATCAGTCCTGGGAGATCGACCCTGGGAGATCGATCCTGGAACATTTATTGGGATATTTCCCGGCTAAGTTGATCCCCTCAGAAGGCCGTTAACGCATGCGCACTAATACGAAACAGTCGCTGGGCAACTGATGACACGGGCAATGGCGGCCTTGATGAAGAAGCTGCGAGCTGTTACTACAACCGAACTGATGTAAGTACACAAAACTATTGATTGTAGATGCAATATTTTCTGTTAGTGAGCATCAAAAATAGTTATGGTGCATCAGATTTGTGCAAGTCCTAAATGTAACGCTTTGTTGCCTGGCCTAAATTGTGATTTGATGGCCAGATCCTCATTCGTTCTATTTACTCTGATGAAGCCCTGCATGCTAGGGCGAAATATTAGTATTCGATAAATTAAATTTATTTTTAAATTCCAACTTATTAGATTGGATTCTCGTCGTCGTATTGCTTTGTTCCTGACTCTCTTTCAGATCCCATTAGCCTATAATAGTCCAGAAATTTATAAGGAAACACATCTTCTGCCTAAAGGCCTTGAATGTAAAATATCTGGAGTCAAGGGGTTTGATATAAACTAGGGATCAAGTTGTAATTCTTAGACAGGTTTGGAACCAGAAATGGCTCAAGTCAAGGGGTTTGATATTAAAGTGGAATTAAGTTGTCATTTTTTAACTATTTTTTGTTGTTGTCAAAGTTTGGAACCAGAAATGGCTCAAGTCAAAGGGGGTAGACGTGAATTGGGAATCAAGTTGTTATTTTTAAACCGTATTGGGTTATTGTCAAGAAAAAGGTTTGAAGCCAGAAATGACTCAAGTCATTGGTTGATATAAACTAGGAATCAGGTTGTTATTTTTCAGGCCTTCCTGGGAATAAATTAGCGCAAGTGTGGCATTTCGCACCCCTAGACTGTTTTAGGCATATGAAGAAGCCAAATTTACGAGTGTAGATAAGAAGAAATATGGCACAAATCTTGTCTAAACTGGAAGTCTTTTGTCTTTTGTTTAAAAATCTAACTTAATTTACCATGCAAAAATGGTATTTTAGAAACACGTGCATGCTAACACAGGTCTTATAAAAAATGTGCTCTGTCCTGACTACTACTAGCCCTGGTGCTATGGTAATTTATTCTGTGTTTAATTGCATTAATTGCATTCAAGTTTCATCACAACAGCTCTTCAAAATGATTATGGTGACCCAGTATTATGGTGCAAATGCAATGTTTGTAAATATAATGATATCAATATCCTGTAATATTTGACCATTCATATCCAAGTTGCTTCATATATTTAGCTTATGTATGTACGTATTTATTTCCTTAGTTATATCCTCTTCTTTTGTTATGCAGTAGATTCTATTTAGATTAGTTGTATGTATATATCCATATATATATGTAAAGGTAGAAAAATATCGAATTAAAATAAGGTTACAAACAAAGTATGGTAGACAAGAGTGGTAAAGCACATCAAAATAAAAAATGCAAAATAATTTCTTGTTTTTGTGTCACCTTGTTAGTTTCCAGTGCTTTGGTTAAAAAACAAACGAATGATTCCAAAAATAGGCATGCAATTAAACACACTCCTCCGTGTGGGGAGGCATGTACCAGCACATGTGAGTGCAATCACAAGCCTTTCTCCGGAAGGCCTGTTTAAGACAGTTTTGGAACCAGAAATTATATAAATTAGGAATCAAGTTGACTTAACTAAAATGTTTTAGGCTGTTGTTAACCAAATAGAACCATTATGTTGAGCAAACCTAAGGGATTTAATTTACTATGTACAGGATACACAATCTGAAACCAAATCTAACAGCCAAAGCAGAACCAAACTCAGAAACTCAGGCCATTGATGTGAAGCATAATTACAAACTGGAACCAAACCAATTATAGAAATAGAACCATTATGTTAAACAAACCCAAGGGAAGTAATTTGATATGTGCAGGATACACAAACTGCAACTGAACTTAACAACAATGGTTTTGGTTATCAAAACTCAGAAATCAAGTCTATTTAGAAAAATATATTTATAAACTGAAACACAACTAAACAACCAAAATTGAACCAAATTGTAATTCTGTAACTCAGGAAACCATTTCTTTTTTTCAGCATATCTACTAGCTGAAAGCAAAATAATCAAAAATTCCAGCACGAAATTTAATTAAACACCCACTCTAGCACATTTGTTTAAATTTATCAAACACATTTCTTCTAAAATTCACTATTGTCTTTTCAGCCACGAAAGATAAAAAAAGGAAAGAGGCCATCGATATCCATAGACTCTTTATTACCAGCCACTTTCTGGAATTCAATGGAATTCAAGATGTTGGAGGAACTGATACCAATGTTTGTCATAGCCTCTTCCGTGTCTGTTTGGCAGTCAACATCACATGATTCATGCAAGTCAAAATCAAAATGATCGGATCCATTATCATTCCCAAGATTCTCAAAAAGCATTTGATCTATGTGACTGATCATTACCTGATTCTGTTGGAGAGGTGTCACATTGTTATTAAGGACAGGTCAAAGCCCTCCCTAATGCTCTTCAAAGGCACACTCTATGGGATTTAGATAATCAATTATTGGTGAAAAAATATGGTCATATTCATTTGCCATAAAAAATTTGATCTAATACACCATCAACTGGAGGTGTTTTGTCTAATCAACCCTTAACATATTGGCAACCAATGTTCCTGAGAAGCTTTAAGATGGTTGCACCATTAGAAATTTTAACTTGCCATGTTATGTTGTTAAACTTCCTGATTGACACTCTGTACATGTGAAAGTATAACCTTGCCAACAGTAACATAAGTGCTTCCTTAAAGGAGCTATTGCTGGATAATTTTCCTGTAGATGCATCCACAAGAGATGACAGGACATCTTCTTTGCATGCCTTGTGGTAAACATTGAGAGTGAGTGACTTTGTAATATGCCAGATACCAGGACTTTTGTCATTTCCAGTGAATATGCTCAAAGCCCTAAGGCTCTTAATAGCATGAACAGTTTTTTGGAAAATATCTGAGCTTGTCAACATTAATGAAAAAATTCATTTCACCTTTCAACTTAGTGCTTGAAGTTCTTCAATATTCGCTTTTTCTTTTGGCCTCTTTGTTGTTTTACCTGTCTTAAAATCAACTACCTTGTTACGGACAGAGCAATAAAGCTTGATGAAATATTTTGGAATAAGATCCTGTATCAATCTATGTTCAAGCAAGTGAATTGTCACATTGTCAGCTTCTGGGGAACATTTCAATATTGAATTTCCATTTACTTTTGAATTATTTTCCAAAAGCGTTTCAAAGCAAAAAACACAACTGTATCAGCCTCAGCATGCATGCAAGTGTAATCATGAGTGGACAAGCAGATATTCCCAATGCTGCCAACAGTGTAAGCAGCAGAAATTCCTGAATTACTCCTTATGATAACATGGGTGAAGTTGTAAGGAAGCATCTTAGGTCTTAGAAATGGGATATCCTTACAAGACTTCACATATACTGTTATTATCTTTTGGCGGCCATTGTCGCGATCTAGCCAACAAGTTTCAAAAGATTTAATTTGTTCCCTGTCATCAACTTGAATATCACTATACTCGAGTGGGGAAACAGGTAGATTCAGTGCATCCTTTGGTCTGATCAGCTTGCCTGTCAAATGTCTGTATCAGTGTGAAATGCTGGTCCTTATTTCCATACTTTCGAGCATTGGGAACAACTGTCTTGTCCAGCATGATACTTGCCAATTCTCTATAGGTGCATGTAGGTATGTCTAGTTGCCTCAATGTGAACATGCAATCTTGGATCATGCAAGTGACATTGTTGTGAGATTCTGTGACAGTTTCAAATTGTCTTTCATTAACGAAGGCAGATTCACAGTGCTTAAACAACCACAGGGTGAGATCTGATTTTTTTGGAAAATGAACAGGGGTCCATGACTCAGACAATGTCACTTGCATGCCAGTTGACTGAAGCAAAAGTCCAGCCATGGCCTCAATTTGAATGTTGGCTTAATTTAACGGAACTTTTTGTTGCCTGGCTGTTTGTTTTCGTGGTACAGTTAAAGCCTTTTTTTGGGTAATTTTAACCGCAATAAACTTGTCACGCCGCTTTTCCCTTAACTTATAAACACTTATCAACTCTTTGTTCAAGCAAATGTCCTTGCAATGAAGGGAATGTAAGACATGTAGAAGGGCATGTATTGAATAATTGTTAGAGAAAAGCTCAATTTTTAAGTTCTTATGACCTTTCTCGCGCTCTTTAATCATTGAAGCTTTGTTCAGTACGTTTTGAACTGTGCCGAGTTTGGAGCAATTTTTGGCACTGTTATTGAACAATGTAACAAGATTTTGATCTTGTGGCCGACAGTAACCAGGTCTGTCTGATTCATTAGAAATCCAGAGACTTCTAACAGCTGTTTCTTCAAAAGTCGCAGAAGCTTCATGTCACGGATGTGATAGACAAGAACAGGCCCATAGTTAATCCGTCTAGTGGTAAACTGTAAGGGTGTTATTAGCTTTGTGAATGCTAGGTCAAGATTGAAATCACCAAATTTCTAATAGCCCCGATACAGACAGACCCGCCACAAAAAGATAGTCAGAGACAAATTTTATCGAAGGATTGAATTGTGACATTGTTGCACAGAATTCTTTCACACAAGTAAGATCTATTGAATTTAGAATTGTTCCTACAGGGAAGGAACCTTGTGCAATTTCATTGGCAAATGCAAGATATGTTAGAAATAGTTCTGTTACACCAGCCAAGGCATCATGATAATAAAACTCATTTGAAGTGACAAGATCTTTCATTGAGAGGAGATACTGAACTTTTGCTGATGTTGGGTCATAGAGAAATGCCACAGCATGCTTTTCCAAATGAAATATTTCCATAGCGCTTCAAAAGCTTGGCATGAATACAGACCTGTCAATCTTAAATTTTCAAAACCTGGAGATTTTAGATTTTTTTCCAAAAGAAAAACAGGGAGATTTGGTCAAAAACAGGGAGATCACAGTAATTTGTTAAGGGAATAAATATACCTTATAAAACGTTGTGCTCGGCGAAGAGTTTATGACAAAAAAGAACACGAGAAGTATCTTCATAATAACTTTTAATGTCTTTTGTTAATCAATAAGCACTAAGAAAAAAATTTTGTCATGTGGAATTCAATGTGTCTTTGAAGCATAAGATGCGCAGTTCAATCGAACATTCGGTGAAGAATCTTCCTAGACATTCTGCTAGACATCTTTGAAATCAGGAGAAAATTTTAAAACCGGGAAGCCGGGAAAAAGCAATCAAAACCGGGAGAGTTGACAGGTCTGTGAATATTTTCAAGTTTATGAAATGAGCCAAGAACAATTGCTGACCCACAAGAGTATCAACATATCAGACTATCAAGACGAGCCCAAACTTATGGGGTGTCGTTTCCGCCAAAATTGTGCTAATGCTTTTTTGTAAAATGTTTACCTTGCATTTATAAAGTGGTACCGTTTGTTTTCTGAAATTGTACCGTCTGTTTCATTAAGAGTACCCCTGTTTTATAAAATGGTACCATTAGTTTTGTAAAATTGTACCATTAGTTTTCTAAAATTGTACCATTAGTTTTCTAAAATTGGTCCATTTCATCAAATGGTACCTACTTTCGAATAACGGTACCCTCTGTTTCATAAAATGGTACTAGTTGTTTTGTGAAATGGTACTCCTATGCTATTAAATGGCACTTTCTTCCTTGTAAAATTGTACTCTCTGATTTATAACATTGTACTTCCTGTTTCATAACATGGTAGATTTTGTCGAAACTTGATATCCTTTTTTATTACTTGGAGCCTGGAACTACCAAACATAGAGTATCAAGAGTACTAAGACACAATAGGCCCGAGGACCTTAAATGACTTCTTTTGAAAACACAATGGAAGAGCTCATAGAAATTGTACGCCAATGTATCGAAAAAGTATGTTTCAGTTTAAATGCTAAAAATAATATTGATTTTGATGATGTTTTAAAAACTGTCGATTTAGTTGTGGATGCCATCAGTTTCATTGACTCAGTAACACACTTGCCTGAAGACATCTATTCAGACGCTCTAGCTGCACGAAGGTCGATAGAAGATGCCAGCAAGATGGCTAGGGTGCCATTAACCTACAATGGACATGAGGGTAGACCATCTTTTGACATTTCGGAGCTGCAGGTTTTGTCTCTTTCGGATTTGGGGTTCTCTGTCCCGCAAATCAGCAGCCTGTTGCATGTTTCCACGAGGACAGTCTGACAGTTTGAAAGACGAATTTCATTTTACGGCTTGAAGGCAAGGGGGCACAGCCAAATTCCAGATGAGGCATTGGATTTTAGAGTTGCAGAAATTAAACAGCTCAATCCAAAAGGCCCTTGCCGGTTATCTTGCAGCGCAAGGTATAAAGATTTCGAGGGAACGGATTCGACAGTCTCCCGGCGGGTCCACTCTTATTGTCAAGTGCAAGCAGCCGTGTCTTCAATATCTCTGAGAAAGGGGTTCAATTTTGTCATATATCTAGGAAATAGATAATAGAAGATAGAGTGTATGATATAGGAATCTAAATATAGCTTCCAATTTTTCTTTGTTTGGCCTTATTTCAATTACTTAATTTCAGGAAAAAGGGTATACATTTTCTTTGGTTTCTAAGAAAAGGGAAATCAAATTGGAATCAAATATCTTGAGTTTTATATTGAGTGGAAATTCATATAGTTTTACCAAACGATTTCTTATATTTTACGAAACATTTTTCCAGAGGGTCGATTTGTTTACAGCAACACAAAATTAAAGTCACAACAACACAAATCAAATTTACAACACCACAAAACGGTAAACAAAACCACGCTCGAATAACCCCTGCAACAATTTCTTTTTAAAATCCGCAGCAAGCAAGAAGCCTGCCAAATCACAAAGCATATAAATTAACTCGGATATCGGAGTTCAAAAAGGTATCATGTAAATAAACGGAATAAGACTTAAGCAAGTAAATAAATTGGATGCTTCCCAACGAAATAACAAGAACCATAATTGTCTTAGATAAAATGCATAATTTGAAATGCATCGTCGGTTCATTTTCGCGGATCCTCAACGTTCTCCACATAAAGACCTCTGTAGAATTCATAAACCAAACGGAAAAAATAAATTGTTGTATCCAGTGCAGTGATAATCTACGAAAGATAAAAAAGGACATAAATTATTTTAAAACAAAGAATGGTGGTTATAATTAAAGTCACGCCGATGAATGATAAATGAAGCGCCAATGGTTCAAACTAGGCTTTTATTCCAACAAAGAACATTAATGAATTGAGAAACTGGTGTTTGGTTAAATTATAAATTTTTACCGATACAGAGAAGCTTAAGAATAATGTCATTTACAATTTTTACTCAAAGTGGCCGTCCTATTTCAGTTTTAGAAAGTTCTTGGAATTTCATTTTTTCAATTATCATAACTTGAAGTTCCTCTTCTTTTCCCATATAAAAACTCAAAAGCTCATTTGAGAATGTCCTCTCGTGTTCAAAAAATATTGTACACATATTGAACTTACAGAAAATATTTGAATAAAATTCTTTTCCATCTTCGGTGTTTCACAGAATATGATTCCGAATGAAACAAATATTGGAAAAAGCAATGCATAGTCGAAAATCTTTATCTGTGATTTGACCATCTGCGCCAGCTGAAACATAGAAGTTGATAACGATAAAATGCTGAGAATTTGAAAATTAGTTAATGCACCATCATTTCTCAGACCCCCTAGAGGACCACTGGTGCGTCCATGTAGCCATATTCAACCAATTTGTGCCAGATTTGTACAGCTCTTTTAGGCAATATAGTCAAAATGCAAAAGTCTTATGGGAATGCAAAATGCAAATGCAAAAGGGAATTCTACACTCCTCGGAACCCCGGTAATTAACACATTATCGAAGGTACCAAATTACGTTCTTCGGAATCGTTATTCTTAACAAAGGATTTGAGAAATATCTTGCTATTCGAGCTGGAATCGAGCATATGGTAACGGTTTTGAGAATTATACATAATGGCGACATGTTTCGGATTATTGGTAAAGCCCGATCGTCGTTCCACCTAGCAGTTTTGGAATCTATCTACATAAGCACGAAAAAACTGCTACTATGTAGACAAAAGGAGTTCGTTTTCACCCAGGGGCGTAACTTGGCCAGTAGGTTTGGGGGTGAAAAGGGTTTCTGCCCTGCAAAACTGAGTGGTGCCCTGCAGACCTCGTAGCAAAGGTTTGTTTATACTCTATAGGTTACTAGTGAAAGCTTCACCAGTGTACACTGGTCTTTACCAAGGGAAAACTTCCAAGCAATGAAAACAAACTTGAAACTTCATTGCCTATGAAATATCTATTTCTCTATGTGAGCGTTAATTATATGTCAAATTTGGTTTCCCTTGATAATAAAGCTTCTATCTCGTGGCATATAATTTTTTGGTGCATTATATGGGCGGAGCAACGAAATTGATTCCGGGGGGACTAAGAGTCAAGTTTAGTGATATAGGAGGACCCACCATGGTTGGGTCCGACGTGAAGAAAATTTTTGAAATTATACCTTGTAATAGGGCTAAAAAGCATCTTTCAGACTAAAATTTAGCAAAATACTATTGTGCTAAAAAACTGATTATTGTTTATTGGGAAAAATACGGAGGGGCATGTCATGCTAAAACTCTAGTGATAGACGTGGGGGAAGAAAAGAAATGTCAACCTTTTGTTTCAGACTGCACGTTGTTGTGAATGACAGAGGAAGATGTTGTTTTTATTGAGAGAATTTATTTCCTGAACAGAAATGTGCAGTTTCTTGTATCAAGAAAGCCATCCAAAATTAAAACATTGCAATGATACAGAAAGTGATTTACTGAATTAATGCAAATAAAAGAAAAATAATAAAAATTATCGTGAAAAAGTTAGTAATTAAATGAAACAAAATCGGCATCTTAACAGTTTACTCTCTTTTTATTTCACGCACTGTTAAAAATTAATAGAAAAAATGATAAAATATTCTTATCTTGACCAAAGTGAGGGCCTTCAGCCCCCTATTCCCCCCAGTGACGCCGTGCCTGTCATGAAAATAGTTTACAACTTAAATTAATTTATATGGACTCAACCTTGCCCTCATAAACATTTGCATAAATCATTGCATCCATTGGCTATGACTTTCGGTAAGACATGCTTTCGCTTTGCAAATAACGGAGCTTTTCCTTACATACCTTTTCCGTTCTCTAAAATGCAATATCAGGAAGGTAGGTTCATAACAAATATGATATTTCCATTTCAAAATTCCTAAACGGCCCTTTACGAACTTCAGAGGTGAATTTCTGCGTAATCTTGCCCTGCGAAATCTTCGATTGCCCTGCGAAATCGACTATTTTTTAGATTGGGGGGGGGGTGTCACAGCCCCCCCCCACACCACCCCAGTATTTTCGCCCCTGTTTTCACCTTAGGATTCCATTGGTAACATTCTCAATAGGCAAGCGGCACTGATTGGTCAACCTCAACAGTCATGTGCTCGCGTTTCTGATTGGCCTATTTCAATTCACAACTGGGATATATATTTCCTAGCATGAGTTTTCGGTCTATGTTCTGACGTTTTAAACTCTGAAGAGTTTCAGACGAAAAGCTTTAGTTTACTAAATGTTTGCTTTTTTTCAAAGCCATTTTCAAGTTTTGTACCACCAAAAGAATTATATATATTCGTTGGGAATCAATTATGAGCGAAAAGGGAACCGACAACCGTGAGCTTCTAGCTTTGTTTACGATTCGATAAATTCTCTGTGAATGAAAATTAGCAAAAGTAAATACTTACAAGTAACTGGATGTGGATCTTGACGAATGAAAAACCGAAACAAAGCAGAAATAGAATTGAATTGCTTTGGAAGAATTCTGACGAGCAGCAACAAAATGCGACGACGGTTGACAACGTAACGACTAGAAGCGGGATCAGAGGTTTCACTGCTTGCATCTTTGGCTGCAAAATATGAATATTGACTTAATTGAGATAATAAGAAAGGACAATTGCTGAAAAAGTGGGGGGCAGGGACGTAGAGATCAGGGGTACTGTTGAATGCAAGCCCCAGGGTTTTTAGATGAATCATTATCGAGTTAAACATAAGATAGAGACAAAATTTCTGATAGAAACGGATAAAAATGTGTGCTGAAGTTCATAATAACGATAAGATTTGTTCGTCTTTAATTCCTAGTTTCAATTCTTATGTTGGTCTTCTTACTTCGGCATGTATTCACTTTGCTTTGAAGTTCTGAAAGTAGTCATGCTCCCTGCTAGATTTCGAGTTAGACAAAACCGGTCATTATCTCTGTATACACCAACAGTGATGATGATATTTCTTTCCCTTACCATAACAACCTTGATATGAAAGTTCTAATTTATCCTTCGAACAAAAGCAATTTGTATACCTCGCGAAGTCCTTTCACAGTGTTATATAACTCTCTTGATTTCACCAGTAGAATATCAGCAATAATCACGATTTTTACAATGTAAAATATGTGCCGAAATTGAAAGTTCACAGCAGGAACAATCTAGAAAGTACGAAATATAATTTAACGTTGTCAATAAAAAGTAAACTTCAGTGAAAGATAAATTTGACTGGGGTTGAGTAGGAAAAGCTGCAGGATGAGATGTAAACATAGCTAAAAGGTTTTAGGGATTTTATGTAAAAAGAATTTAAAATGAAATAAAATGAGAAGCCATTAAAACAGGGACAAAGCAGCCCAAAGGGCCTCCGTTAGTGGATGTTTCGATAGATTATTTTTCTTTTGAGAATTATTTTGTAAAATCTTTAACTTAAGATTGTTGAAGTGAATATATATAAATATATATTTTGAAACTTTTAAAGACACAGTGTTTTGCTGGAGTTGATGATAAACCCTCATTTTATGCTCACTTAATTTGCGCTCTTTTCGAGAACTCCGATTTCGAAATCACACGGCTCTTGTTTGGTTGCCAGTCTGTCCCTACTTTGAAAACATCAACTAGGTATCATTGAAGGCTGACCACTTGCAAATGCAAAAGAAAAAGTAACTGAGTTGAAGATTATTTTTCTTACGTTGTATGTCCAAAAGTCAAGGCCGTATATTGCGGATACGAGGCTAATACAGGTGAATGCTGTCACCACTGCAAGAAAGTCGAAACTGAAAGGGAAACAAAGAAAACTACTTCAATATGACCTCAAAAGAACAACCAAAGCAATAACTCTACGATGTTTCCAAAACATCGACCAGTTTATATACCATTCTCATGGATTAAAACTTAATTCCTAATACTTAACCAGGATTCTTGGTAGATAAATAAAAGTTGGGTAATTTCGAGGGTAATTTCCATATCTCCTCAGTTCGTTCTTGTTGTACTTTCAATCTAGGTCAACTTATATAAGTGAACTAAAGTCGCAGCCTCTACAGAATGATATTCTTGTTCCCATTTTGAATTTTGCTATGAACTATCAGCTAAGATAGTTTATTTACCTTGCATACTGGTATTTGCCACAAATATACATGGTATATGGCTCTGAAATGTAGTTAGCGAAGAGATCCACGAAAAACCACATAAAGAATACTTCGTGCGTCTCAGATACTCGCAACAGGCATGCAATTGTCATTGAAGAAAGCATGAGAGCGAAGCAGTCGCCTCCGTGGTCTAGAAGCTCTCCAAATGGGCTAGAGAGATTTCTTAGTCTGGCAACTTTCCCGTCAATACTGTCACAAAGTAGCCACATGAAAAACCCAAGAGCACACCAGCTTGACATGTCCTGCACCCCCTGCAAATCAAACATTTCAATAATGAACTTCATAGCAAAGTCATAAGAAAGGAGGGAAAGCTAAGAAAGAAAGGAGGTGGAGTCAAGTTTGCTGATCACAGTTTTTATTAACTTCTTCCTTTTTGTAGGACCTTTTTAGCCTTGTTTTCAAGATAATTTCTTACTTGCGTTTATAGAATCTTTCAAGTATGTTCTTAAAGGCAATCAACAGACACAAAAATGGCTTGCCTAATGATCTATCAATCACATTAGCCAATGAATTAGCGTGTAAGTGATATCACACACACACACACACTGATTGGTCAGTTCTTGATTAAATAATGGCTTAAGTCTTTTTTGCATCTGTCGATTGCCTTTAATATCTTAGCTTTACCAAATTTCTTATAGTCATGATCTGATCAGTAAACTGACCTAATGCAGAAACTCAGATGTTGTTTTCTTTTCAGCCGTTACAGCCAGTGACGGCGCCGAAGGGGGAATGGGGTAATAACCCCCCTCCCACTTTTTCAAACATGGTCTACATATTTCTTCTAAAAACTGATTAAAAGGGGCTAGGTAAGGGTAGTTCCTATTTCCTAAGGAAAATTAGCCTGGTACAAAGCACTGAAACGAGGCAGAATGAACGCTGACACTGGTTTCACCCTGCGGGGCAAAATAGGCGCTTCAACTCTGCAGTAGCTTGCGCCGACACTGGTTTCAGCCCGAGTTGTGAACTTTAAGATATCGAAAAAGGGATTGACTCTTTTTCATGTGGTCGAAGTTCTTTGTAAAATCGAATTTCTAACAAGACTGTAACAAGTCAGCTACATTATTCTGGTAATTTTATTCTTTTCTTTCTTCATTTTTGCGAAATTAGATTAACTCTTTCTGAAAAAAGATAAAGACTGATAAATAGATAGATAAAGACTACTCGAATTATGAAATTGATTGATTCAAGGTTGATAAGATTTTCAATTTTGACCTAAAGCAATTTTTTTGCATTAAGATTTTTACAAAGAGCAGGTGACTTTCTTGGTCGAGAATTACAGCTTGGTATATTTCTCAGTAAATTAGCAATGAAGATCTTGTTCAAAATTATGGAGCTGCTGAGATAAACAAATTGATAAAGAAGACCTACCTAAAATTAATGAGACAAACCTAAAATTGATATAGAAGCACGCAAGTGAATATTATATTTCAATGGATTAATGGATCTTTTGATTTTGCTTTAAAATTGAATCGTAATCCAGTGACAGTGCCCAGAAGAAAGAAAGGGGTCTAGAAAATGCTATTGGTAAAAAGTAGATCTGCTTTTGAAAATAGACACTGTTGGCATAGAATTGTAACAAAAATGGTGTGGTTTTCAGGGTTTTTCGTTACAGGCACCACCCAACCGCCAACCATTCACTCTGCAGCCTCTCAAACAGCCAAATTGAGAAAGCTCATAGTAAATATAGTTCTGTAAAGACCATGTAATAAGTATCATGCCTGTCTGTTTCCAATGTGTTCAAAATACGACACAAGGATACAAGGTATAGTGGTAGACAGTATTCCAACAATCGTAAGTCCATTTGGAGAGATGAATCTCGGCAGGCATTCAGTGATTTTGTCAAATCCTGGATCCAGAATGAAAAGAACCTCGCGACCTTCGCATCGGTAACGATGTTTTCTAATCCTGGCAAGCTTCTCTGCATTCAAAATTGCCATTGCGAATTCTTGCAGTAAGACCACTTTTGGATCAGATGAGATTCAGTTCAGAAGTCATTTATGATACCAAAGGGATATGTCTGGAAATAAAGGAAGCAATATTTTAATTGAAGATCAAAATTTGCTGGGAATTTTTATTCGATACATTTAACGAAACTTATTACTTAAACTAGCAATTTGGCATCATTTTTGAGTTTATTGTTCTGATGAACGACAAGGGGAGGCTCTCATCTCATTAGTTTACTTACTTTGAGAGCTCCTTAAAGACTCATTGCTAACAACGGGCAGCGTGGCGACGGTCCTTAGTAAGCTTGGCGACGGACCAAACAATGGCAGTAAACTTCTACGGATTAACCAAAATTGATTTCAGACAGTCTAAAAATGCATTATGGGATGCTTAGGTAGCGCAATGGCTCATTGTTAGCTATGAGTCTTTCAGAATTCTACTACATCTAGTTGTATTGTGTTGTTTTTGCTTTATATTATATTATCAATATTGTGTTAATAATTATTATTATAGTGAAATTCGAATCACTTTGCCTTAAAAAAATTAAACAATAAATATTTGAGATTATTTTTGCTTTACTTTTGTATGTTGTTTGGTTAGGATTCTATATTGAGCTTAGACTACGCAGACTAAACCCGGATTTTGATTTAACCAATAAGCGAAAACAATTAATTGTCTTTTACTCGCTTTGGTCCTAGTTTGATACTGGTTTGGCCCTTGTCTGGTTCTGGTTTGGTCCTGGTTTGGTTCTGGTTTGGTCCTGGTTTGGTTCTGGTTTGGTCCTGATTTGACCTTGGTTTGGCTCTGGTTTTGACCTTTGCTGTGCTCGGATCAACGTTTTTGCGCCTACAAAGTGTTATACTGTTGCTACCTAGGGTCCATTTTCCAGGCTCTACAGTGTCAATCTTTATTGTAATTGGTACAATGGAACGCCAACTAAAGCCCTGTTTATACTACACAAAGTAACTTGTGTTCGCTCTTAGTTAAATGCAGCCGGGTTCGAAACCTGATGCGTTTACAATGGAAACTGTCGCCTGGGTTAGTTTGATATCGACGCATGCGTAACACAAAAAATTGAAGGTGAGGATAAGCAAAATGGTGGTAGTCAACGTATAGGTTGTTTGTGAACTTTACAGAATACAATAAATCAACTTTAAAAACAATTATTTCCCAGTGTGGGCCTCTTACACGGTGAAAACTTCACATTCGCGCTTTGTTTTGCATTCGGCGCAATTTCTCTCACTATGCATGCGTCCTGAAGAAGCTAGGCTAGTTCCCAGGTTGCTTTCAACTACATTAGTGTCCTGACCTCTATTTGTTTTTGCTCCTTTTTGTTAAATAAAGTTGTTGCTAAGAGATAATTAAAATGTGCAAATATTAATTAAGACCTATTTTCCTCGAGATTTCACCTTCACAATACCTTCACGAGTTCTATTTACAATATTTGCAGTGTACTCTTGACGTAGTTGAAATCCAATGCCATCTTATACACTAAAGTAGAAACACTCGCGAATGAGACTTAAAGCATTACGAAATGCGCCAGACGGACCAGAAAAGAAAATGAAAAAAATGTGATAGCGGAAACAAAGAACCAATCAAATATGTCTTTCTTCCTTTCACGTTACTCTCGATCCACACCTGGATATAAATTATCAGCTTAGGCAGTCTTTCCACTGAACCGGCTCAAAACAAAACCGGGTTCGCAGTATCCGTTTTGCATTGCGTACCCACTAACCCAGTTGAAAAACAGATAAATTTAGAAACGGGTCTCCAACTGGACCAGTTTTTGGCCGGGTATGTGCTAACCAACCTTTGGGTTAGTGGGAACGTCAAACTCGGGAACTTTGGATCCGCTAAGAACAACAACAGCAACAACAACAACAACAACAACAACAACAGCGTTGTGCGAAAAATTCAAGTACTATCGTTATAAATGCTGATTTCCCTCACAGCTCTGCGTGCTTCGCTTTCTGCTTATAACAATCTAAATCTGATTTACCAGAAGGGAGGAGGGTTATGGACACATTTTAAGCCAGGGTACACTTCAACCCAGCTTAGTGAAAACGATCAAAAACGGATTAGAACGAGCTTAAAGCAAACGGGTGTTTCGATTGGCTCACTTTAAATACGGATACATTTCAATTCGTATTTGTTTTAACCCGGGTAAGTGGAAAGGCTGCCTACTTTCGGTCATTATCCCACGTTTACACTCCGAAGAGTGTCGGACGAAAAGTACTTAAGTATGCTATGTCTCCGCTAATTTGTGCGATTTTCAAATTTGCGGTACCAAAACTTAGTTGGTAAAATAAATTCATTTGCCAATGGAAAATTCTTTTATTTCAACAGATAGAAAGAAATTTGGGTCCGGATGTGTATCATATAAATAATCTAAGGGCAACTACGGCCGTCAAGTCAGCTGTGGTGTTCCTCATGGGAGCGTGTTAGATCCAATTCTCATTTTGAATGTATTGATTATACTATAGTTATATTTTATTACTCTCTTTTTGGAGATGAGTTCAACTTGTATCTGTATTCTTCTTTGATAACAGTTTTGTAAAATCTTTTGATATAGATTGAAAAGGTCCTCTTCAGTTGCTGCGATTACACTTTACTTATCAACTTAACGAGCATGAGGCTCGACAAATTGTTGTAGATTCGTTTCTGCGTGAATCAAAAAAATTATCTTTCATTAGAAATCCGTCGATGTTCTGAAACTAACACCATTCATTGGATTGGTTATTGCCGAATCTTTAGTATCTGGCCTTGATTACTGTCTTGTTGAAATCTTTAGCAAATACCTGCAATTCGATTGATTTTTTTCAAAGAATCTCCCTGGAAACTCGAAAATTTGTATTAAATATTTTGAACATATTGCCTTACAATTGAAAACAAAAAAAACAAATATCCTTTGTCGCTGCCTAATGTAAATGCTTAATCAAAGCTTTGCCCAGATATACAAAAAATCACGAAGGCAGCAAATTTGGCGGTGATTTTGAAAATAAATTTGAGTTCGAGGCAGTTTCGCATAAAAAGTTAAGGGGCGCCACAAGGTGGCTGCGGCGGTGGGTAAAGAAGTTGCCCGGGGTAGGTAAAGGAGTTACCTAGAGCGCCACAAGGTGGGTAAAGGAGTTACCAGGGGTGGGTAAAGGAGTTCCATAGGGGTGGGTAAAGGAGTTACCGAGGTGCCACAAGGTGGCAGCGGCGATTTTAGTGACTGAAGGGCCTGGTATCAAAAACATCTGCAAAGCCCTTATTCTTTATAATTTTTATTGTTTGAGGTGCCCTTTCTTTCCACCAACAGCGTGGGATCTGGGGCCATAGTTCCCCGCACCCCCTAGAACCGTCACTGAAAGGTTTTGGCAGACTGCTAGTCCCCCTTTTCTGTTTTCTAATATAATCAGTCTTATCTGACATTTTATAATATAATCAGTCTCTAGAGTATAGTTATCTGGCATTTTTAAGGGCGCTGTCCTTAGATCATTTCCCGGAGTACAAGACCTTAAACTCTCTTCTCAGATTTCCATGGCAACGTTAGTCCTTTCAAATTTCGGCGCAATGAAAGCTACTGTTCCACTTTGGCTTGGAGAAAGATTTGATTTTTTCATCTTGCATTATTTTCTTGTATCTAGCATCACTAAACAGCTTCAATTTTCTGCTCTTGATCAGTGCTTGATTCACTGACCTCTGAATATCAGAGCCAATATATGCAGTGATTTGTAGGAGACAAACTGCAAAAGTTGTTTGATGATAAAAGGATGTCGATGATGGCTCATGAGCCAGATAGGTTCATAGTTTACTTTAAAATCTTGAATGATGCTTATTCGGTATAAACTTCAAAATATTCTAATGCTTCTGAAAACCAAAATATTAAATACTTGGCTCAAATTTATTCAAAAAGGGTTCTACACCCTTTTCTGAGAGTATTTGGGGAGTGGATGCTCATGATATTCCTGTACTTCTTTACTTCTTTGTAAGTCACTGATCCATAAATTTACCAGCATTTTGATCATTAACATGGAGAACCTGCTTTCTAATCGTATCACATGCACGTAAATATTATACACCTTTTTAATAAGCGACTTGACTAGTTTCTTAAAAGCCTTGGTTGCTTAGTAACTGGTTATTACTTGAAAAGAAGTTTAGTAAAACACATAATTATATAGTTGTTTATAGAATATAGAAAATTTTAATATAGAATATAGAATATAGAGTAGGCGAACTACAAGTGGTTCAGGAGGCCAATCAAATTGCATGCAACTTTACCTTTGCTTTGTTGTCTGTTCATCTGCAATGTAAACTCTTTCTTAAAAGAACCAGATACCTTTTGTAGAGGCACAATGTTCTTTTTTTTGGTTTATTTGTGGCCCTTATTTCGACATAGGTTTTTCAACAGCCTTGTATTAAATTTTTAAGAACTAGGTTGGTCAGTGGATGTAATCGAATTCAAATAAGAGGTGCCGCAAAATTTTTAGATACTGGAATACGAAATACCAGAAACATAGGATACTGATGCACTTTTCGTCTGACAGTCTTCAAAGTATGAACACTGGATAATCACCAAAAGTAAGCAGAACATTTATATCCGATCTGTTTTCATCTCAACATACATCTCAATCGGATCTGTTTTGCTAAAATAGGAGAGTCGTCTTAAAAAAGCGTTTTAATTTCTTGACATTTTTCAACCCTAAAAATAACAAATTTCATGATTTTGATAAGTTTATGATTTTGGGCTTACCTTCTTCGTCCAGCGTCTTGTGAGCCACTTTGCGTGTCGGCCTCCTGGCTGTGACAGCGTCGAAGCTCTGTGTAAACGTGTTTCGTTTATTGCCCCTATGTTTTTGGAGTTTAGAACAAATAAATAGAATCCTATTTCAATGGATGAGAACATCCTTGGTTTCCATGGAATCGCGCCTTGCAAGGCAGACAGTATGCTCCTGCGCTGCGTAACAGGAAGATAGTTTAAAACGACAAGTGGAAAGACGTATACATCCAGCTCAAATTTCAGTGGCCAAAACCACTGGAAAATGAATGAACCGGAGAGCCAAAGTGAGGAGGAATATTCGACGCTGAGGTAATTGTATTTGTTGTTACTGTTATTTCTTTTTTTGCTTAATTCATATTTTCATGGCTTAAATACAGATTCTACAGACATACGGTATGCTATGCTGAGCAATGCTTGTAATACATATCAGTTGGTGAATCAGGAAATCCAAGTTTTTGATAGAATTCCGCTCTTTCGAACCGAGCTTTTTCGGTCTTTTATACAGAACTTGGGTTTAAGAAAGGACGGTTTATGTTTTCAACTGTTCATTTTCACAATTCTTTTCACAAGCAATGATATTAGCCATGAAACCGTAAGAAATCGCTTCTCCTGACGTGAGCTTGCTTTGTGGCCTAAAAGCAAACTAGTTTCTATGTTATGAATGTTTTTGCGTCTTCTCTTTCGGATTAACGATTGATAGAACAATGTATCCATTCTTACAAAAAATGTTTTGTTCCTTGTGACTGAGCTTCTAAAGTATTTTGAGCATGGAAGAACACTGTAAAATCAGTTTTGGGCAACGAAATAAAGGGTTTAGCCTTGAAAAGTAAATTAGTTCTGCAGAATGTTTAGTCAGCAAAATACCAGGTATCTTTGGCCGCTCAGATTACCTGCAAGCAAGCAGTTATGATTTTCTGCAAACAGCAGGTTAAAATATTGTATAGGGGAGGACAAATCAGTGGCGGCGCCAGCCAGTCGAATTTACTGGCTATTGTTCTGTCAGGAAACTCACTTTTACCAACAGGGAACGCTAATTTTACCGATTGCAAACACCCTTGACTAACATTTGACTACATATAGGAAGTTTCAAAATCATAGAGCCATGTCATGAAAAATGCTTTTCCAAAATATAATCCCTTCCCGAACATTATCTCATCGAAACACACAATCGTCCTTTCAGAGAAAGAAAGACAAAGAAAGCTAGATAAAAGGTTGAAGTTGCATTCATCCTTGGTGCGCATTGTTTTCTAGACTCACTTTTTATACGAGCTTCCAAATTGGTCAAAAGTTAAGCCCAGTCTGGGCCATAATCTGGGCCGACAGATCCGTTTCCACTTGCCTGTCGACCGCTCTCGATCGACGTCGATTGTCAGGCTATGAGTATGTTTGGCATGAAAGTTGTAATCATTTCCCTGTCAAGTCTGAGGGAAAAAGTGTCTTCATCGGAAAGTAATTCTCAGAAACGAGAGCAAAGAGTTAATTTTATCAATTGCCTGGGAAATTGATAAAAATCATATATGCAAACTGTTCATAATAAAGCTAAGGCTACGATTGTATTTAAAATGAAAATGAAATGAAAATGAAAATGAAAAGTATGTGAAATGAAAATGGATATACAAGCGATACGAGCAGAAATGCACACTCGATACGAAACATTACATATTTACAGGGTATTGAATCAGAGGTGGCGCCAGAAATCGTCCGACAGAAGGATTGCAGCTTCCGACAGGGGGGGCTAAAATGACTAAAATAAGCAGTTTTCATACGTTATTTTGTCAAATTTGCTTCGACAATAACGTAAAATTTCCTCCGATAGGGGGGAGGGGGGAGGCTAGATCCAAAATCAGGACCAAACCAGAACCAAACCAGGACCAAACCAGAACCAGACCAGAACCAGACCAGGGCCAAACCAGGATCAAACTAGGACCAAAGCGAGTAAAAGACAATTAATTATTTTCGCTTATTGGTTAAATCAAAATCCGGGTTTAGTCTGCGTAGTCTAAGCTCAATCTAGAATCCTAACAAAATATATAAGTAAAGCAAAAAGTATTTCAAATATTTATTTTTTAATTTTCTCCAGGCAAATTGATTTTGATTTGATTTTGATTTGATTTTGATTTGATTTTGATTTGATTTTGATTTGATTTTGATTTGATTTTGATTTGATTTTGATTTGATTTTGATTTGATTTTGATTTGATTTTGATTTGATTTTGATTTGCTTTTGATTTGATTTGATTTTGATTTGATTTTGATTTGATTTTGATTTGATTTTGATTTGATTTGATTTTGATTTGATTTTGATTTGATTTTGATTTGATTTTGATTTGATTTTGATTTGATTTTGATTTGATTTTGATTTGATTTTGATTTGATTTTGATTTGATTTTGATTTGATTTGATTTTGATTTGATTTTGATTTGATTTGATTTTAGATTTATCTTGATTTTGATTTTGATTTGATTTTGATTTGATTTGATTTTGATTTGATTTTGATTTGATTTTGATTTGATTTTGATTTGATTTTGATTTGATTTAATTTTCAAATACTACTATGATAATAATTATTAACACAGTATTGATAACATAATATAAAGAAAAAACAACACAATACAACTAGATGTAGTAGAATTCTTAAGGAGCTCTCGAAGTAAGTAAACTAATGAGATGAGAGCCCCCCCTGTCGTTAATCAGAACAATAAACTCAAAAGCGATGTCAAATTGCTAGTTTAAATGATAAATTTGGTTAAATGTATCGAATGAAAATTCCCAGCAAATTTTGATCTTCAATTAAAATATTGCTACCTTTATTTCCAGACAGATCCCTTTGGTATCATAAATAACTTCTGAACTGAATCTCATCTGATCCAAAAGTGGTCTTACTGCAAGAATTCGCAATGGCAATTTTGAATGCAGAGAAGCTTGCCAGGATTAGAAAACATCGTTACCGATGCGAAGGTCGCGAGGTTCTTTTCATTCTGGATCCAGGATTTGACAAAATCACTGAATGCCTGCCGAGATTCATCTCTCCAAATGGACTTACGATTGTTGGAATACTGTCTACCACTATACCTTGTATCCTTGTGTCGTATTTTGAACACATTGGAAACAGACAGGCATGATACTTATTACATGGTCTTTACAGAACTAGATTTACTACGAGCTTTCTCAATTTGGCTGTTTGAGAGGCTGCAGAGTGAATGGTTGGCGGTTGGGTGGCGGCTTTAACAAAAAACCCTGAAAACCACACCATTTTTATTACAATTCCATGCCAACAGTGTCTATTTTAAAAAAAATAGATACTTTTTACCAATAGCATTTCTTGACCCCCTTCTTTCTTCTGGGCACTGTCACTGGATTACGATTCAATTTTAAAGCAAAATACATAAGATCCATTGATCCATTGAAAAAATAATATTCACTTGCGTGCTTCTATATCAATTTTAGGTTTGTCTCATTAATTTTAGGTAGGTCTTTTTATCAATTTGTTTATCTCAGCTGCTCCATAATTTTGAACAAGATCTTCATTGCTAATTTACTGAGAAATATACCAAGCTGTAATTCTCGACCAAGAAAGTCACCTACTCTTCGTAAAAATCTTAATACAAAAAAGTGCTTTAGGTCAAAATTGAAAATCTTCTCAACCTTGAATCAATCAATTTCATGATTCGAGCAGTCTTCATCTATCTATTTATCAGTCTTTATCTTTTTTCAGACAATCTAAATTCGCAGAAAAGAATAAAATTACCAGAATAATGTAGCTGTCTCGTTACAGTCTTTTTAGAAATTCGATTTTACAAAGAACTTCGACCACATGAAAAAGAGTCAATCCCTTTTTCGATATCTTAAAGTTCACAACTCGGGCTGAAACCAGTGTCGGCGCAAGCTACTGCAGAGTCGGAGCGCCTATTTTGCCCCGCAGGGTAAAACCAGTGTCAGCGTCCATTTTGCCTCGTTTCACTGCTTTGTACCAGGCTAATTTTCTTCAGGAAATAGGAACTACCCTTCCCTAGACCCTTTTAATCAGTTTTTAGAAGAAATATGTAGACCATGTTTGAAAAAGTGGGAGGGGGGTTATTACCCTCATACCCCCTTTGGCGCCATCACTGGCTGAAACGGCTGAAAAGAAAACAACATCTGAGTTTCTGCATTAGGTCAGTTTACTGATCAGATCATGACTATAAGAAATTTGGTTAAGCTAAGATATTAAAGGCAATCGACAGATGCAAAAAAGGCTTAAACCATTATTTAATCAAGAACTGACCAATCAGTGTGTGTATGTGTGTGATACCACTTACACTCATAAGGCAAGCCATTTTTGTGTCTGTTGATTGCCTTTATAAACTTACTTGAAAGATTCTACAAACGCAAGTAAGAAATTATCTTGAAAACAAGGCTAAAAAGGTCCTACAAAAAGGAAGAAGGTAATAAAAACTGTGATCAACAAACTTGACTCCACCTCCTTTCTTTCTTAGCTTTCCCTCCTTTCTTATGACTTTGCTATGAAGTTCATTAATGAAATATTTGATTTGCAGGGGGTGCAGGACATGTCAAGCTGGTGTGCTCTTGGGTTTTTCATGTGGCTACTTTGTGACAGTATTGACGGGAAAGTTGCCAGACTAAGAAATCTCTCTAGCCCCTTTGGAGAGCTTTTAGACCACGGAGGAGACTGCTTCGCTCACATGCTTTCTTCAATAACAATTGCATGCCTGTTGCGAGTATCTGAGGCACAAGAAGTATTCTTTATGTGGTTTGTCTTGGATCGCTTCGCTAACTATATTTCAGAGCCATATACCATGTATATTTGTGGCAAATACCAGTATGCAAGGTAAATAAACTATCTTAGCTGATAGTTCATAGCAAAATTCAAAATGGGAGCAAGAATATCATTCTCCAGAGGCTGCGATTTAGTTCACTTATACAAGTTGACCTAGATTGGAAGTACAACAAGAACGAACTGAGGAGATATTGAAATTACCCTCGTACTAGTGTGATGTTTTTGCACTTGATGATTCATTTATAATTTATTCTAACATCGTCAAAAAGCTCATATAGAATAATGAGAAAAAACTTTCTTTTTCTTCGATCATTTTCTTCAATTTTTTTCTCAATTTGTCCTACTTTAATTTTTATTTATCTACCAAGAATGCTGGTTAAGTATTAAGAATTTAAGTTTTAATCCATGAGAATGGTATATAAACTGGTCGATGTTTTGGAAACATCCTAGAGTTATTGCTTTGGTTGTTCTTTTGGGGTCATATTAAAGTAGTTTTCTTTGTCTCGCTTTCAGTTTCGACTTTCTTGCAGTGG